AAAGCGTTTACTTTGTTGTAGCAACGAAAGATATTGATCGACTATTGATATTTATATATGTAGGTGTAGGTGTGGGTGTGATTCTTCTCTCTACCCAGAGCAATCCTCACGCTCAAATCATACTATTAGGAATGAAATTCAAAGGAATTTGATTAGATAATTCTAGCAAAATTATTTTCTCTTGTGAAGGATTTTGGAGAAAATTTTGGATAACAGGTACAGTTTTAGCTTATGCACAGAATCCAATAGGATGATTAGAAAGAGAAAATCAAGTTATACTTGAGACGTATAAAAATCAATGCGAAATACGACTTTTAGGAAGACTAATCAAATGCACACAACATTCCGTAAATGCAACAGCAAGGAAAAATGTCTGTTATCAACTTTACGTCGCCAAAACAACATGGAGTGAAATAAAATAGGAGTTTGTACTTTCTTATTACAAGTACATGTGTATTCTTCTGAATAGCTGAGCAAAGTTCGTGCAGAGCTTTTTCTGAACAATTGATTAAGTATTTTCTTATTGTTCGTTTTCCCTTGGTAATGCATTTACGGAATGTTGTGTGCATTTGATTAGTCTTCCTAAAAGTCGTATTTCGCATTGATTTTTGTATGTCTCAAGTATAACTTGATTTTCTCTTTCTAATCATCCTATCGGGTTCTGTACATAAGCTAAAACTACATTTGTTATCCAAAATTTTCTCCAAAATCCTTCACAAGAGAATATTTTACTCGAATAATCTAATCAAATCTCTTCGAATTTCGTCCCTAATAGCACGATTTTAATTCCAACCATATTATTCTGAGAAACCGCATCCACCTCCTCTGTTTTAAATCGATAAAAGTCCTGACAATGTCGCAAATCATGAGATTTGGAAGTATAATACTCCGAATGAAACCTCATATGGAACAAAAAAGATAGGAAACAGTTACTACTGCAATAAAATGTTAAAACTGGAAGACATTAGAGGCTTTAAAAGAGAAGAAAATATGATTTTCGTGAAGGGATTTCAATCTGACGGAGGTGAGGAGACCCGTCTGTATCGTTTCTGGTTGAATCTATTGTATGTCATTATCTACTCTCATTGCTTGGTAGAATTGACTGTTCATAAATGATCTTCAACCTTCTCTTATCATTTCTTCTTATCACATATTTTATTATTCTTTCTGTTGTTACTATGTATCGTGAATCATCTCATTCTCCTTAATTCTTTATCTCCTCCTTTCATCTTCTCTCCTTTTTGTCTTTCTTCTAGTTGCCTATGTAAAGGTGTGCTTTTGATGTAAACAATACGATTACTGGCACGAAGAAGCTAAATAAAGTGTAGCTCTATCCGCGCAAGTGACTCTTCTATCTAAAATCGTCACACCATTTTGTTTCCGAAACCATAATTTCTCGTTTCGTGCGCACCTTTTGTATACAGGCCTCTTTTCAGTGAAGTCGGATCAATTGAGAAACACTATGGCAATTTCACTACTCAGTCTAGAAAACTCAATTTGCCTTGCATGAAATCCTTCTTTGTATGAGATCAGATTTGCATTAAATAAAACTTTTGAATTTTACCTTTGCACTGAGTGTCTGTCAAGCAACTTAGAATCTAAGTAAATCAGGGTAGCTTTTAGATGGATACCCCTATACTTTCTCCTAAATTTGCGCCACTATATCTCACGCAACGCGCTGCTTTACTTCGTTTTTCAATCGATCTGAAAAACGCACAAGCCTGTGAAAGTCTTGAGTGTTGATAGATTTTGTGATCAGCTAACTGACAGTAAGTAACACTTACACATTACGTAGCTATTATAAGACCTGAAAAATCTTACCTTCAAAAGTTTTTCTTCTATTGTTATTATGCGCCTCGACATTTTCTGCACTCCATTATATAAGCTAAACATTGATAAGAGATCATATGATAATAAAAGATAACAATGCACGTCTTTTTTGCTCATTGGTGTAGGGAGCAAGGCATATATAACTTTCGCATTTGAATGTGCCGATCCGTCGTTACACACACATGTCGTCGACATCGAATCACTGCAACATTTCCGTTACGTTTAACCAAGTTTCTGTGCCATTAAGGGTGTGAGTGTGAGTGCTTCCCTGCTTCTAGATGTCATTTACCCTTCAAACCTACCGGCACCCACACCCACACCCGACTTGAAATCTTACATAGGGATAGTAGGATCCTACGGCAGAAACTTTTTCGCATCCTGAATCTCGTTTGTCTTCTTGAACGACATGTGGCTGATTACATAAAGTGCAGTAGCCAACATATTGCTGTTTACTCGCTTAATTGCCATAAGAAATTCTTCTTCTTCCTCTTCTTGACGCGTTAATTACGACTCAAGTTAGTCGCTCATTTTTCACACCTGACCATCACTTCGATATAAGAAGAAGTTTGCCGAGAATATGATGAGTGCACATCTGAAATCGATTTTTTTTTAAAAACTCGTTCTGTTCGAGGGAAATAAAAATGTGGAAAACGATAATTAACAGCTCAGAGTTTTTTATATGGTCATACATGACTCAATCTGAAAAAGAACATTGATATTTCAGATGCTGTATGCAATATTGATGCAGATTTATTAGCTGAACGCGACTGATATTCATTATGACTTTCTCTACAGAAGTCCAAGATCTAAAAATAGCAGATGTTGTTGAGGATCGTGTTCTGACCATTTTTCAACCTCGTGCAGTCAGTCCCCTTTTCTACTCGGATTTTGTTTGAGTAGCAATCTCGCTCTTGGTCTGTTCTTTTTTCTGTTATTTATTTAAATATTAAGATATTTATTAGAAATAAAGAATTTAAAGTGTACGACACGTTTTGATGTAAGGCTTTAAAAAATTCGGGACTGTTCTATAGGACTCTAAGGAATAGGTCTTAAACAGAATAGTTTGTTGTAAAAACTTTAGGTCTTTTGATTTGCTCATATCCTGAAATAATGACATTAAAACTGATAATGTGGATGTGGATATGGATGAAAACGAGATTCACATCCACACCCTGACAAACTAGATATTCAAATTCGAATTTACACTGAACAAAATTTTTTTCTAAGCCAGAAGACTGCTAAGAAAAATTTTAATTACAACAGCAACGTTACCATAATTAATCAAACATTGGTTTTAAATGCACCTTTTTTCTATAAAAGCTGATGCTCAGTAGCAAAAGGCTCTTTCAAATATTGCAGAATATTCTCATCATACAGACTTCAATGTATAATGTTCAAAAGAGAAAAGTCTAAAAATTTGAATTATGTTTTTTTTTCTGCTTTTCAATTATTACTCATATACTTAATTACTCCAAGAAAAGTCTCTGACTCTCTTGCAACTACCAAGACTATATTTTAAAAATTTTATGTCAGTCATTTAAAATAGCATGCTTGTAAATGAGTGCAGCATGAAATTTCTTTATAGAAAAATTTTATCAAGTCTTAGAAATTTGTTAATTTTAAACAAAGATTGTGGAGACCTTCAAAATTGTTATCAAAGTTGAAAAAAATCTCTAATATAAGGTGATATCGAATTTCTTAATCATAGAATTTTCTATAGATTTTGTGCATCTCACATCATGTTTGTTGAAGAAAAATCTATTGAGTATAAGTTTTAACTTGAGATTTTTTGGCTTCTCCGCCCGGACCGTGCACATTTTTCGCATTGTAGACAGGCATGTAATTTTCGTTCTCAGAAACGGCCTTTGTTTGCTCAAAAGTGATAGACAAATACTTTGACAGAACTTGAACGAATTTGGATCATGGCTAAGGATGGCGTGCTCATTTGACTAAGCTCAGTCATTCGAAAAATCACTACTACCGAAATATTTTCGCTTTTTCTTAAGTAATTATCAGCTCGAATTTAAAGTTTCTTTTTTACGAATCTATAGAAGACACTGACTCAGCTCTGTCATTGGCTAAGTCTTAGGCAAAAACGGCAGGTGTGTTTTCAAGACAAGTTTTGATTGGCAAGCTTTCCACTCTTCTTGGCACTCGTAACAAAAATTTTTATGTCAGCAGATAGAGCATGCCTTGAAGTATATTTACCATAACTAAAAATGATGAAAAGTTTACTTTCGTTTTTGTTACTTAATGTCTGTCTGAATGCACATTGTGTTTCTTCTCCCGTTTCCCCCATAGCAATCGATGACAAGAGTCACTAAACGGCATTAACAACACGACTTAGACTGTTCTAGAATACTCCAAAGTCTTCCTCGAAATTTTAATAGCTGAAATACGTTTATGAATATTCTAAATAGTGCAGTTTTTGATTTTTGCTCAAATAAACATTTATATTCAAGATGTCAACAATGTTGGATAGTTATGCATTGATTTGACACGATCATCATATAAAATCAACATTAAAAACGTGAACTGATTAATTTATGACTTCGCGCAAAAATTTATTATTTGTATTTGTAAGATCTAGTGTAGATATAATGGATATGTACAATAGCCTTATTAGCCAGTTAAACCAATGGTTAGAATTATAACAATAATATTAAATTAAGAAAAATGGAAAACAATGAGCGAATATCAACACGGCAAACAAAAAATAGAACGCCAGTAAAAAAAAAATTTCTATTCGAAATGCAAAAGCAAATAAGACGGATCGTTCCTCTGAGTACTAATGATCCTTGGAAAACGGCTATATTTTTCACTTTATGCATTTTGTATTCGTATAATGAGGTTAACAAATACATGTGAGTTCTATATTTTAGTTCCAAAGATGCTGTACTGATAAGCTTTTCTGACATATGCTCATGAATTTGCTTTAAACAAAGAAAACAGCGAGTTGAAAATGAGCATATACGATAAAAAGCCAATATGATAATGGACGAACATTGTTATGTTATTAAAAAGTTAAAACAATTTCTCAGGTCATTATCTGACAATTTAAAAGAAAACTTTATCTTCATAAAATTAATGATTTAGATAATAATAACACTGATTTTTATTAAAAATAATTAAAAAAAAAGTAGTACTGTACAAAAGAAAACATGTCAAATTTAAAAATTTTCTTTATTTAAATAAAAATGAACTCTATTTGTTGATGAATGATAATCATTTATTTTAATACATAAACATTGAAGTTCTTTAACAAGTGGTTTTGGACCACAAACAAATACACCAATATGACGTTTTTGTGTCATTTGCCAATCTTCATTAATAATATCTTGAAAATCAACATTAAAATTAGGTCGTCCATAATGTGTTTTACTTTCTAAACCTGTCCATATGTCACGTTCATCAGTATTACTTCGTATAACTGCTCGAGCTTGTCCAATTGACCATTTTGTTAAATAAATATTATAAGTTAAAAAATTTATTCGATCTCGAAAATCACGTTCAATTTCTTGAAGCATTTCAGCAAACCATTCATAACAAGATGTTGTATTACATATCCAATAAAAATAAACACGACGAAGACGAGCACGATTCGATTGAGATGAGCGTATATGTTTTAATATAGCAGCATAAGGTGTTACTAAATATTCAGGAAAAAATAAAACTATTTGTGTTTTAAAATCAACTCGAAAAAAAACAAGGGGGAAAGTGCAGCTCACATTTGAGACAGCTATTGTAAGGACAAACATACCGATGTTTGGGTCAAATAAAAGAGGGCTTCGGATAAGCCTAGAATTGGCCCGAACAAGCCTATGTTTTGCCGTTACTATAGAGGAAAAATCCTGTTGCAATCTGATTCGTTGGTAGCTTGTTCGTATCGATCAATCAGATTGCGAGAAGCTGTTTCTCAGCTATTGTAAGAACAAAACATAAAATAAAGGAAATAAATGTGGCACCCTTGGATTTAAATCTGAGAGTTGTGTGTACTTCAAAAAGTGAATGAGACAGATGAGTCTTCCTAGAATGTGTGGACATCAAAATTGTCCTAGCAAACCTTTTCTATAAACACTTGATTGCTATTGGCTACTGCTCAACCAATAGGATTTGGAGGCAGATACAGCTCAGATTTGAACTCTTCATCTTCATTTACCCTGAGAAACTTGTTTTTCCTATAACTTGATTTCTATTGGTCATTGCTCAACCAACGGAATTTCGAGGCGAATGGAACACAGATTCGAGTTCTCCACCCCAGAAAACCTTGAACTATCATCTCTGTGATCGGAAGATAGAGCTCTATTTATGGATCAATTAGAGCGTGGACAAAAACAGAACCGAATTCCGTTGAATTATCTTTGCAATAGGTGAGTTAACTTTCTTGTTTCCTTATATTTTATATACCATTTTGTAGCTCGTGAAATTCTCTATCGAATGGTATATAATAGTTGAGGTTTTATTTGACTATGATAGGAAAAGTTTTTTACGAAGACAGAGAAGGGTCTATCTTCTCATAGGGAAGCATAGGGAAAATGACTATTTTTGCAATAACTCAGCAATGGCTCGGCCAATCATTCTCATCTTCGAACTCGACCGAGATATTGTTAAGACTAAACTGTGTAGAAAATTTCATCACGATCGGACTCTCCTTTCGAAAGTTATCGTGTAAACGGACGGACACACTGACCGATTCTAGAGTGTACTCACTTTTTGATTACACAAAAACCATGCTCAAATCTGATTGGTCGATACGAAAAAGCGATCAACCAATCAAATTTGAGCAGAAATTTTTCCTATATTGCTAGGGCAAAACGTAGGATTGTTCGGCGTCCTCTTTCATTTGACCCGAACATCAGTATGTTTTGTCCTTACAATAGCTGTCTCGAACGTGAGCTGTACACCCTACCACTACTTACCTCCAGTGCCGAAAGGTGCTGGAATTCCGAACTTTCACTTTCCCCCCGCCCTTAAAAAAAAATAACGTTGTTTTCTTACCTCCAATCCCAGCACCAATAAGTATAACACCATCATAATTAAAAACATCATCAGCTGCGCTACCATATGGTCCATCAACTGCTAATCTTGGTATATCTTGTGGATACATTTGAAATTTTTTTGATAAATCATTTGTCCAATTTCCAACGGTTCTTATATGAACACTAATATAAGATTCTTCAGCAGCTGATGTAACTGTAAATGGATGCCATTCAAATATCGAAATTGAAAAACATTTTAAATAAATATATTGACCAGGTTGTGGTGTACTCATAAAATTTTTACGAAAACGTATTTCAATAACATTTGATTCATGTCGAATAATATCAATTACTTCAACATGTTGTAAACTACGTATAAAACGAAGAAAACGTTCAAGAATATAAAGACAAAGTGGAGCACATAACCACATCCAACTTGTTGCTTGTGAACTACTAAAACGAGGATAAATAAGACATTGTTGATTAATACCCCATTCACGATAAAGCGAAGCACATATTTCTGGATTATGTTCATCGAGATTTATTTGTGATTTAATTATACCTTGAAATCCATGAAGAATTAAACAAATAAAAAATATAATAAAAAATTGATGAGCAAACCAAAATATTTCATAAAATGATCGACGTATAAGTGATGTCGATGAACTAAATATAATCATTAAACAAATACATAAAATAACTCCTGTAATTCCTGCTGTTGTACGTAACATTGATCCTATACTTAATGAATTTGAATTAATTCTATCAAATGGATTTATTTGAGAATCTGATGATTGAAGATAAAGTAAATTAAGTGCTGATGAAAGTGTTTGATATTCATTATGAATATTAATTAAACGTTCATAATTATAAATATGTGCTCCAATATGTAATATTGACCAAAAACAAATTGCATAACCAATACAACGATGAAAACCAATATGTTGATCAAACAGACGTTTTGTAAAACGACGAAAACGTGATTGTGTTATACATTGTGGTAAAATATAACGTATTAATGAAAGTAAATTTCGACAAACAGGTAAAAGAATTAAAAGACAATTAAAATTTAAACATAATGCTGCTGCTCGTGCAATACTTAAACCATCAGATATTAATGAACGTAAATAAAAATATGAACGAGATTGATGATAATTTAAAAATTGTCCAATAAATAGAGCAATATTTATTACTAACCATAGAAATAAAAAAATAATTGGAGCAAGATCATTTACAATAAATAAACGAAACCATAAACGAATAGATTCAAACGACATTCGACTAAAAAATAAATATATTTATTATTTTTTTTTTGTAACAAGCAATAAAATAATCATGTAGAAACGAAAATGTCATGTGAACAAACTACCTATCATACCTTTTACGGTGAATTGTTGAAGATTCTGTTAGAGGCATTGATGCGTCACCAGGTAGTAATTTTTCATTTACAATTACTGTCGTAGTTATTGATTCTAATTTGACATGTTTTTGATTGGTTTTTTTCGATGTTTGTTTGATCCGAAATACATTTTTTGAATGTTGTTGTTTTTTATCTGAATTACTTGAGATTAAAAGAAGAAAATTCGTAACACAACAGAAAGCTTTAAAGTTCTTTTTCTACGTACCATATCGACAACATTTGACTGAAGATGAATGAATCATACAAAGAAATGAGTCATATATTAATTCATAATGTTCGTTCTATTACCTCAATGCACACAACAACAAAATTGATTGATGAGTAATTGGAGTAGTTTATATACCGACATCTATAATAAATTGTGTACAAAATTCTTAAAATAAAATCAAATGACTTTTATTTTTATTAATAAATGAAATCATCCACAAAACAAAAATCCTTCTCAAATCATAAAAAATATACTAGAACGAGACACTATTGATATACAGTGTGTGATTGTATATTAGTTTTTGTTATGGTCTGTAGGGAAGAGCGATTGAAATTTTTTGCTTCAATACTCCTTTTAATTTGTAAAACACAAACTATCAATTTTCATAATCAATTTAAGATCTAACATTCAAGCAGTCTTGTTAAGTTTAGTATATGAATAATTCTTTTGTATACATCACTAAATAATAGTAGCGTAACTAAGTTATCACAACAGTAGTCTAAAATTTGATTCTCAATGGTTTTATTCTTCATGTTGACCTGTTCTAGTAGGCAGATCTATTATGTATTAAAATACCAATATACAGTTTCACAAATGTCTGTTATCGCAAATTTTGTGAACGTCTCTGTTTTCAAATGGATAAAGTGTATTTACGCTCATAATTGTTAGATTTAACTGCTACACAAATTCATGATAAATTAGTTACTGCTTATAGACAAGGTGTTGTTTCATATCGTATGTATAGTTGCTCACTGAATTCATCGATTTTCAACTGGATTGAAACCGTTAGACGATGATCCTCGAAGTGATCATCCATTATCCGTCATTATTCAACAAAATATTGATGTGATCCAGTACCTGGTGAATAAGGATCCACATATTAGTATTGATTATGTTACCAAAATCATCATCAAAAACAAGTAACATAAATTTACATTATAAAATTGCGAAATCGTATATTCAAGATATTGTCTTTGAGAGGAAAAAATGAAAATTATGGTTCATCTACCATACTCATCTGACCTTGTTGTTCCTTCAAACTTTTAGTTGTTCAGTTGTCTAAAATGTGGTCTTGGTACATATCCAGATGCTACAAATTTAGTTAAAGCATTATCCAAAGAACTCAATTCAATATTTATTCAAGAATCCCAAAGATATTCCAGAAGTAGATTGAAAGAATGAAACTTTGTGTTGAATATGATGGGAACTACTTCGAATATTTACTCTAAAAAGATTAGCAAAATGTTTTTTCTATGAATAAATATTTGAAAGTACGAGAACTTATTGACTAACCTTTGTATTTTTGAGTGCAATTATTGTTTCTTTTTCTTTTTATTATTTTTCAAAAAAAAAATACTCCAGTATCATCAAACAACAAAATTACTCAAATTTTTTAAGATTTAAGTAAAATTGGAAAATAATATCGATGACACATAAATATTGAAATAGAATAGATTTATTAACAATATTTCTAATTATGTTTAATATATATGAAAAATAATAAAAATAAAATAAATTTCTTCTCTAGAGTTCTTCTTGTTGAAGAAAAAGCCATTTTTTTACTTCAAATTTATAATCTGCAAGTGCATTAATACATGCTTTCTTTTTAAGTATTGATGATGATGTATTCATAATTAATTGAATCTTTTTCTGTGGACAATGATTTTGCAAAAGTGCTATTGTACCATCATAATCATTAGCATCATGATCAACACAAATCGTTTTTCGAGCTGCATCACTGTGTGGAACTTCTCCTCTTTCCAAAAGCATCCGATCAACAGCATATGCTCCAAAACCAGCACCTCGTCCATCATCTGCTAACAAAAGAATGATACCTACACCATAACGAACAATAAGTTGTACAGATTGTTTCAAACGATCACGATGGGTTGCATGACGAAGTGGAAATCGATTAAATAATGATTCCATTTGTAATCGTACAATAGGATAATGAGACATACTAACTGTACCATGTGTAAGAATAATAAATTCACGTGTACTGATTATGTCATAATATACGTGAATCTAGAACAATAAAGATGATATATTTTTAGTTCGGAAAGCATTCGCCAAAATCTAAATATGTTAATTTACCTTAAACCAATATGGTGTTGTTAGTAGTTCACATACAGGATCATTTCGACAATATTCCTCATGCTTTTGTAAATTAGTGACATCAATTTTAATTAAAAATCGATTGTTTCGTAGAGCTTGATAGTGAAGTATACAAGCATTCGGCATATTAATATAATAATCAATCGGTCGATGTTTAAACATTTCATAAAATTGTTTATCAGTCAAAAGAATTTCATCATTGATTGGTTTCATAGGCAAATAATATGAAGCACAATAAATAAAACGTTGAGCATTGGGTACTATAGTTGGTTTGAAAAGAGGTACCGGTTCCGGTGCTGATTTACCACGAAGTGTTGAATGACTGGCACTACGCAATAAATGACCACTAGCTTGTTTAGATGCTAAATAGGCAGCATTGAATGGTGATGATTCAAATTCAAGTGGTTCAGTACTTATTACTTCTAATTTAAGATCATTCATTGCCTGAATTTTATCTGGATTATTAGTAAGTAAAATGAATTTAGCATTACCAATGCCAAGTAAATCACAAATTTGTGGAATATTTTCATAATGTCGATGATCTTTTTTCAATCCCATAACTGTATATGCTTCGAATGTTGAAATTTGATCATATGATGCTTGTACAAGCATTCGATCACGTGATTTTCCAACATAACCAGCACCACGACCTTCTTGTAAAAGATAGAATAGAATACCATGTTTCTTTTCAGATATTATTTTCATAGCGCCTTCCAATTGTTGTACACAATCACAATCACTTCCACGTAATGTTTCACTTGTTACACAAGATGAATGAAGACGAATATAAAATGGTTTTTCTTTATCTTTAACTTTTCCATAAGTTAAAGCCATAATATAATGTTTTCCAATCAAATCTTGAAAAACATATGCATGAAAATCACCGAAACGAGTCTAAAATTAATATATTAGAAAATATTTATTTGAACAATATGTAAATCAATAAAAATTTTCATGCTCAATATTAATCTACATGTAAAACTATTGAGATTAAAGAAGAAAAAAAAAAGACTTTGTAACAATTATTCTAAATTAGTTCGAAAATCTAAATTAATCGATCCTTTTTTGTTTTTACTCTCTACTTTGTATGCTATTACAAAAAAAATCTCTTACATCAACATTGCATTCAGCAATATAGAGTGTTGTGCCACGTAAAGGTCGTATTACAGTTTTGCCACGTAAATTTTTTATTTCATCTATATCATTTGGATCGCATTTTGTATTGACTAATATACCAGTGGGCGAGAGTAGTTGAAACAATAGTTGTGAACGCGAGGTGAGATCAGACTCTGATCTATCTAGCCGCGGAACCTGTGTGTCTGGCTGACTTTCTTCCAAAACTATGTCACTGCCAGATGAGTCGCTGCTATCATCATTGCGTACACGAAATATTGGGTTGCGTGACTTGCGTCGTTCAGCATCAGGTGTAATCACAATCGAGACCGAACAGTCAGGTGACACGAGTCCTGACGACTCACTGTTGATCATATCGGTCATATTTCGTAGTGTATCGATGAATTAAATTGAAACGTTGTTCTTTCTTTCGATAGAAAAAGTCAAATTCGAATAGAAAAAATAATATCATTTATATAAGTGAAGACAAACGACATTGCATTCTATCGCCGAAAATACAACTGATAAATTTAAAATGTGAACTAATACATCTGTAATATGTCAGCGTATTTTAACAAAAGCATTAGCAAAGAGACGTTCTTATAGATAAAGAAAATGAAATATCAATAAAACGATACTTCGTTAAAAATGCATTTAAAATACTCAGGTGTCGATGTTTCTTTTATGAGTACACGAGCGATTTTTTGCTTATAGTGGCATTGAAAATAGTCATACGATCATATTAGTCCATTTCCGCCGGATTAACTCGTCACTGAAAATTAGTCTGAATCAAATATGATCGATTCTATATGGAATATTTTATGTCAATAAGTCACTTAAGTCTTCCCTTCAAAAACGGAAGAAGGGGATCAATGATTGCTGAAATTGATTCTCTTAAAAAATTTGATTTTTTTCTATATCATACTATCATGGAAGATGTTTGAAAGTGTGGGCTCTTATTGAATTAATTGTATAGCAGTTATTTATATTATGCACAGATCGATTGGCAAAAGTCAATATTTGTGTGATGTGATAGTATTTTTCAAGAGTTTTAAAATGATATTAAAACATATCGAGGAAAAAACATTGATCACTCAAAAAAGTCCTAAGAACACTATTTTTTCACTGGTATTCAGTAAAATTCGGTAAGAAAATAATGATTTGAATGAAAATTAATATGATATTCCGATTCGGCACTTCAAACTGAGTGAACTTATGTGTATTTCAAATATTTTCACAAACTTTTTTTTGTCAAAAAATTCACTCTTGGCTCCTTGAATTTCATAAAAACTCTGTTTTTTTTTATTTGTTTATTCATCTGCTATTTAAAGTTCTAATATTGTTTTATAACCTTCGAACTTGATTCTCATTGTAAAAATAGGTTTTTGATGAAATGCATTTTTTAAACTCAACTCTAAGAAGGACAAGAAATGAATTTTTCGACTAAAAAAAAAAGTCTATGAAGATATTTGAGTTATACGCAAGTTCACTCAATTTGAGGCATGCAGTTATCCATTGAAGTCTAGCGGTTTGTCGCCGTCGATGAGTTAGTTCTCGTTTCGTCGAAAAAATTTTTTTCGTGTGTTCTCGTTTCGTCGATTTTTTTTTTTTCGTGTGTTCTTGTTTCGTTGAAAATTAAAATTTGAATGAAAATATGCAGCATATGCTTAGCTTATTCATAATCATTTCATTTTCTTTAACAGACTAATTCAAAAAAATGATTCTGGATGGATCTCAAAAATATTTATTAAGAGCATTACAAAGATTACACAGCTAATGGAGT